ATAATTCTCATCGCGCCCCCCTCATACAATAGCAATGTATTGAATTCAATAATAACATACTTTGACGCTAAAACTACTATACGACTTTTATCTCTCAAGTGCCACCGCGTATATAAACGTCTCGCTAAGCCAATGTGTTTACTTTCCCGGACGTATACATACGTCTTTCCGAAGATCGATCTTTCTGCACACTGTTAACCATAAAATTTTTCCGAAGGCTTTGGAATGCAATAAAAGGTTTTTGGCAATGTTTGCGAAAGATTTACCTATTTCAGATTATTTGCTTCTTTTTTTTCCCCCACCTCAATGCATCAAATACGTGCGCCGACGTGGAAAGCTGTTGGCATTGTGAAGCGAGTTGCCTAACTTTCTGTCGACAGTTAATGGATTAATTATTAACCGTACAAATTAGCCAGATAAGTGTTAATTTTTGTATATAATTTTATATATGACAATCAACACAAATGGGGTCACAGGTCATTATTGAACTTGTTCTTAATTTAGTATTGTTAAATTAATTATAAAATAAATTGTGTAGCACTGATAAAATTATAAGTGTAAATGTGTATTTTATTTTTTATTATGTTAGAATGTATTTTGTTTGTTTACTTTCAGTAAATTAATAATTTTTTAAATAGTCTTTTGCTTTGGACTTTCCAATATGCTCGTGCCCCCCTCTTAGAGTTGTCACGCCCTCAAAGAAGGCGCAACCCACACTTTGAAAAACATTGCTTTACGGTATTGTACATACGAACTGCATAACTACAACAATCCAACAAATGGCGCTAAACTGCCAAAATATTTCACGGGAAAGTATCACCAACTATTAGGAAAATGATAAATTACATAATATTATGCATTGGACGAACTGAGTTCGGACTTCATAGAATTGAAACACCAATTTTTCTCTTTCCCAAACTCTGGTCGGGCATTTCAGAATTGACGCATTTGTGTTTCCAGAATTCAGTTCGTGCATCACAGGCAAGGGTTAAAAACATATCGCTTCTGTTGGTGCATTAATTGAATATTACGAAGTAACTTTGTAGTGTGTGGTGTATGCAGAATTATTCCTTTAGTTTAGAATAAGGGTAGCGAACCTTTATGAATCAAAGTGCCATTGTTTCTTAGGAAATGTTTAATGAGATACATACGTGTCGTCAAACAATTTTGACTTGTGATTATTGGGAAAATAAGAAACCAAATACTAACACAAATTAAAACTCTTTATTTACTACGAAAAAATATATTTTGCACTGCTATAGTAGTAAATGATTTAGTTATACGAGTAATTCAAATTAAACTAACATTAGTGTGACTTCTGTTGTTGCAGATTATATAGATGACGAATAATTTATATTAGGATTATCAAATGTTACACTTTTAGTAGAATGCACGCTGAATTGGAGTCATCTGTAAAACGGTTTCTAAGCGAGTCTTTAATGTTATTCATCTCTGAAAATCATAAAGCGCAGGGATAGGTAGATGAAAATGTGGTTATAATGGCATGAGTCAGCTCCTTCAAACAGTTAAATGTATCTGGAATCGAATTCCATGTTTCCAAAATTTCGTGACTAGCATTTTTACTTATATATGCTTGTTAAATCTTTTTGTTTCTATCGATTATCACTTTTTCCTTGTTTCAATACCCTTTTGAATCCATATTGAACTAGACTGGAAATCAATGAGAATTTCATGTCAAATTCTTCAACTTCCAACCAGTCGAATTGGGACAACTTTAGTTTATCAAATGAAGTCACATCAGGGTGCATAATAAACTTGAGAGTTTCCGATAATTCCTTAAACTAAGAAAATAAGGCTGAAAATTCTTTGATTGAAGAATCATTTACAGAAATAAATTCTTCAACACCCTTTTCGTTGTCTTATTTCTCTTGTACAGAAGTTCTCATGTGTCTTTTTACAGAATAATAGTACCATTCACATAAAGGTAATAAAAATAAATTATTTATTAAAAACTCACTGACTAAAATAAATGAAATAAATAACAAGAAGCAATACAAAAGCTGCTGGAGACGTACTTTGAGGAATTGGTGGGGTTTTAAACATGAGCTAGTATTTTTTCTCCATGCTTCCACACCACGCAAACGGAAGGACATTTAGCCTAGAAATATTTAACGTGAATCAGCCACGCTAAACAACAATATTCAGAATTCATTATTGTATTTATCAGGCAGAGTAGATTTTGAGATCACCTTAAACAGAAAAAATAATTATAGAAAAGCATCCAGGGAAATGTAAAATTACATTTTTAAAATTTTGAATTCCCTTCCCTTCCTAAAAAATTTGCAATTACAGCATGCAAAAATCACTGGATACATAATCAAAGCTATTACTAAATTGAAACCTCCAATTTAGGTTTTATAAAACTGTTTCAAGTTTTCCTCGATATTGCAACGGATCAACTCATATTGTTTCCAAAGTGACAATAACATCTCCAAAAACGCTTTTACTTGTGTGTGTTAAAAATATTTTAACCAAATTTTTGCAACTGAGTACATTTAATTCACAGTTATCCAAAACAACTATGAATAAAAATAAGAATGCAAGAATGGCAACCGCCGAAGAAAAAAGGCAAATATCAGAAGTAAATAACTGATATCAGAAAGGAAAAAGGAGATAATAAAAATTCTACTCTAAAGTATTGTGTTTTTGGTGATATCTTCTTAAGATCTTATCTCTACAAATATTATATCGAGGTTGCAATAATATTGAAAAGATAAATCGCCTTAATTTTGTTGGAACATTCTAGGTTAGAAATATTTTTTCGATTGATTGTTTATATCGATAATATACAGTTCGAATTTTCAAGCGTGGAGATCTAGTTTAGGGCCATGTTTGAAGCTCGAAGGTCCTGGTTAGAAATAGAGATAAGTTGCAAAGTACGTAAAAAAATTGAATCAATAAAAAGTCACAAGAAAAATTGTAAACAACTAGGAACCCCTTTTTTAAAAAAAATCTATATAACATTTACCAACCATACTTTAACCCCTTCCAGGCTCATTTTATTTCTAGATTCTGGATAAAAAAATATCAAATTTTTTAATGCTTATTTTCAAACCTATGAGTCTTTTTAAACATAATAGCACCATTTACATACAAAATTTCCTAAAATTAATGTTAAAATTCTATTTAAAAAAATGAGTAATTTACCTGTAAAGTTGGCTTTCTGTATAACAGAAATCATTTGAAGTCAATTCTGACTCACTATAAATATAAAACTTAGAGTAATAGTTTTTATCTTGAATTACAAATTTTATTTACATCTTTTGCATTTACATAAATAATTAGGAAATTATTAATCAAAATTGTATCGTGTATGATAAATTCGAAAACACGGTACTGCACATAACCCAACATCACAATCTGAACAGTAGAATCTTATTTCTCTTCTTACCTTTTTACCTTTACTGTCTCTCTTTGAGCCCCTCAGGGGGCTCACCTTCTTTAGATGGGTACGGGTGTCACAATCCCGAGGTACCCTAGTGATCTTTCCTTTTCACCAAGGGGTTTACTATCTTTGGTAAACACGGGTGTCTGACCCGGGTACCCCAGTGATCCTTCTCTATTTTCGACCCTCCATCTTGTCATCCCAAATTCTCCTTTTCTTCTTTTCCCCTCCCGACCACAAACCTATGAATGTTTGGCGCAGTATAGCCAAAACTGGCTCTTGCGCCATAAAACACCAAACTCATCATCATCATCGTCTCTCTTTGAGCAACAAGTAATACACTGTCGTGTTGGATTAGTTTTCTTCTCAGTTGGGGAAATATAGTCACAACAAAGTGTCTTTCAGACAAGCGTGAAGAGGGGGCTCTGTAGAAGGCGGTCCTCTTTGCAAAAAACTCCACCGAGTAGTATTTTTCAGATATTCGAAACCATAAAAAGCACATGTGAAATAACTCGGGAAAGGTCGATTGCTCAGTGTAAATTTTCACAGCGCCCGAGCTACACTCGGGATGAGCCAGGATGGTACCTTTCGCCTACCCGATCTCAGCTTGGGAAAAGCCGGAAGAGGTTAAAGGAAAACAAACATAATAGAGTTTTTATTTTCTTTGCTTTAGTTTCGTAAAACTTGTCAAATTTTTATTTACACACGTATACCTATTGTAACTTGTCTATTGTGGTTTTTACACAAAATTTACCTATTGTTTTATTTACACGCTTTTATTAAGAAAATAACACGCAAATGCAAATTATTATCTAAGGAAAATTAACGTTTATTTGTTAAATATTTCATGTGGACATTGCAGGTCTTCTAACAGTGGCGTAACATACAACCCCGCATCGTGGGGGGGCTGGACTATAGGGGCCCAAAGTCTATTTATGTTATGGCCTTAGGAATCCTTTGTGAGATCCTGCAGGGGGCCCCTAACATTCTCCGTTAGGCCACTGTATTTAAGTACTAGTATTTTATCATTTTAAATGTTTAAAAGTGAAATGTTTGATTTCTCTTGAGAGTTATCTATTTTCCATAAATATTATGAATAAGAAATTTTTAAGTATCAGCTTTACTGTTAAAAATGTCACACTGTTGTAAATGTAAAAATTAAAATTTACCACAAAGATTAAACAACGTTTAAGCGATGAAAAATCAAACTTCACTGTACAGCTTGCTCAGTATATGCTTGCAGGTGCCGCATTATTTTTTATTTTGGGCTAACGTTGAGAAAGCATCACCAGTGTGTGTTTGTAGAAGTAACAAGTAATATAAAAAAAAAATTAAGTCAATTCCTACTTAGGTCAACAAAGAAAAATTTTATTTTAGTTGCTTTTTATTAAATAGTTACAATTAATATAAATATGTATATACATATGACAGAATCACAATATTAAGTGACAAAATAGAAAGCGAATTTCTTTTCCATATATGGTATTGAACTATTATTTGTGTTCTTTTGTTATTATTTTTTCATTAATTAAATTTAATTATTCTAATAAAATAGGGTATAGTAAAAAAGAAATCACATCCTCAGAAATTAGGGTATCCCAGGTGGGATCCGAACCCACGACCTTTAGATTAGAAATCTAACACACTATACATTGTGTTACAGCAGGGGTGTCAAACTCGTATGATATTACGGGCCGCATGGTCTATTTTATTATAAGTTGAGGATCGCATGTTTACGATCTTCAAAAAGTCAATAAAATACGTTTTTTACAATGCATTATGCATTTATTAATGTAAAGCTCAATGTATTGTGTATTATACACATGTTGTTGTTTTATTTTCATGTTATTTTTCAAACTTAATCTATACACATTTTATATTTTTAATGAAAAAAAATTTTTTTAAGAACTTCAATTTAACATTACTTTTTAGAAGATATGACATCAATTTTTTCACAAAACAAGTCATCAAGATTTGATTAGAAATACTGAGCTGATGTAATTTTTAAAATGGACGATAAATGTTGATCATCATTAATCTTATCTTTCTAAATTCTCGCTATTTTTCATTAAAGAAAATTATTGCCCGCATAAATAAGTACTTTAGAACATAGTCATTATTCGTATAACAAACGATAGATTTTAGGAAAAATATCTACTGATATAAATACGAGTATGTATAAAATTCTAGAGAGAATTCCAACTTCCATAGATTTTTGCTTCAACAAAGAATCACATTGGATTTCAATTAATTTATTTGTAAGCTTTCATCAACAATTACAATATCGATAGATAGAGATAAAATAAAAATGCAAAATTTTAACTCCTCACAGCTCTTAAAATTAGAAATAATGTTCTAATTTTAAGAGCTGTTAATTCCGTTTCAAACTATTTAATTTTGTGAGCGTATTCAGTAAATTTTAATTTATAGAATTTAATCAAAAAATATTGACAGCTTTCAAAGTGAGACAAATTTACATTTTCTATTTATTTTCGCTAAAGTAATAATATTTAATATTATCAAATAACAAAACAAGATTTTTGCCTTAAAGCTTAAAATTAAGTTAAGATGACTTGTATTATCAACTGAGAAAGCCAGGTCCTCTATCCATCTTTTAATTCAGCACATTCATAATATTTTTATTTCCAAGAAAATTACAATTTCGTCCAGCAATTTAAAGAATCATTTTAACACTTTATGATTCGAAAACCATTGAATTTCCATATAATATGGTATATCATTGAATTCATTCTCTATGCCTTCGAGAAATGAAGCAAATTTACGATGATTAAGTCTATGCTCTCGAATATAATTTACAAATTTAGTAACTATTTTTAAAACATGTCATATGTTTAAAACTTGGGAGCGCAGTACTCGCTGGTGTATAATACACTCTTTTAACAAAAAAACATCCCGATTGTAATAAAATTTCGTATGCAAAGACATTTCAACCGATCATGCACATGATTAAAATTTGGTGTCTAACGAATGAATAGTGGGAGCTATAGCGCATTGGAACTGCGCACTCAGCAGGTGTCTACAAAAAGCGATTCTCAATCTGATGGTGAAAATTTCTTTTGCACTGAGATTTAGTATTTATGAACAACTGAAAAGATGCATCGTTGTAGGATTCGAGCTCATCACGAGCAACTGTCAGAGTTTGAAACAGGTCGTATCATTAAACTAAAAGGGGGAGGTTGGGGAAATCGGAGAATCACTCATCATATGGGTCGAAGTGAACCCGCCATTAGAAGATGCTGGCAAGAATGAGTGGACAATGGCAGATTTCAGCGTCACGATGGTAGCGGTCGACCTAGGACCACAGCAGATCGGGAGGACAGATTTATTGTCAGATCAGCTACCACAGCACCTGATTCATTGTTGTCAACTATCAGACGTGCGACCCGCACACGAATGTCCACTATGACCAATTCACAGACGGCTGACAGAGCGAAATTTACGCTCGTACCGACCGCTACGTTAAGTGCCAATCACGCCTGTACACTGTCAAGCCAGATTACAGTGGTCTCGGTTACATTTATTACTCAGTAGTTACATTTATTATTCTCGACAGATTACTTATCTCGAACAGGTTGGAATCATGCTGACTGGAGATGTATAGTGTTTAGCGACGAATTCAGCTTCCAACTGTGTCCTGGCAAACATCGAAGACGAGTCTGGAGACTGCCAGGGCCGCGTACCGATTCTGCTTTCACTATTGCAGGCCATACAGGCCCTCAACAAGGAGTTATAATCTGGGTGCCATTTCTTTTGAAGCCGGACCCCTTTGGTCGTCATTAGAGGCACAGCACATCAGTACATCGACGGCATTCTGAGAACTGTTTTGCTAGCGTTCCTTTTGTAGTATCCTGGCCTTATTTTTCATCAAGATAATGCCAATCCACATACCACACGTGATGCTATGAACTGTCTTACAGCTTATCAAACACTTCCTTTTCCATCCATATCGCCAGATCCCTCTCCAATCGAGCATGTCTGGGATATGATGGGAAGGTGACTGCATCTACCAGGGAATGTTGATGACCTTGCCTGACAATTGGAGCAAATTTGACAATAAATACCGCAGGAGACCATCAGGGTGCTTTATCACTCTATGTCTTGGTAGCTTGCATCCAAGTTAGAGGAGGGTAAACTCCTTATTGAGCTCGTTACTTTGTAAGTATGTAACTCTGAAAAAGATCATTCAATTTTTCCGAAATTTTAATCATTTATTATTCTATACATAATCTTTCCACCCACCAATTTTTGTCTCTATCGGACTACTCGTTCTTGGTGCGTCGTTGTTTTTTTTGTTGTTATTATTATTATTATTTTGTTATAGAGTGTACAATGAAAATGCTCAAAATTTTATTGCCATGCTGTTTGCGTGTTTCTTTTAATCTTGCAACAACTCCTTTAGTAATATCACGATCATGGTAGGCATACCATTTCAAGGCAAACCAACTTCTTTATTGTGTGGTAATTTATATTTCTTCAAAACATCTATAAGTATATTAAAAATATCAGCTCCAGATGTTGTATTTTGAATATGAATGATTTGCAAAGTTCTTCGCTTATTTTTAAATGAACATCGCATCCGTGAAAAAAAGCGACTGGCTGAGCAAAATTTCGAATATCTGCTATTTCATCAATATTAAAATAAAGTAGCTTGAAATTTTGATATTCAATTATACTGATTTCTTAAATTCTCTGCTATTTCATCAACTCTGCTAACAACAATATTTACGATATTTAAACTTGCATTTTTAATTTGCTTTTTTTGTGCTAGACATAATACTTCCGCTGTTTTAAATAAACATGTACTAATAAATTCCCTTTCGGTAAATGATTTAGATCTGCTTGCGAGATTAAATATAATAATTGTACTTTTACAGCAGCTGTATAGTCTTCAACTAATTTAATGAGTGTGCTTTATTGTTTTTGAAGAATAGATATCACACACATACAATTCGGACAATTTGTCTTCACAAATTCTTTTTAAGTATTAGTCAAGTTTGCTTCATGATTTGGATCATGGTGCCTTTTAAGAATATATTCCACAGCAACTGAAATAGTTTTTAGATATCTAGCACATTTGCTACGAACAAAAAAAATATTACAGTTCCCTTTTTTTTGGGTTATGGCGTTCCTTTTGAATTGATCTTTTTTCCATTGTAGAAATTTATTGTGTTTTCCCCGCAAACTTTTAAAATATACTCCCTTTTTACCTTAACCGTCCTGCATATTTTTTAAACTTTAAAAAACATCTGATTACCTCTTGCTGATTGGATACTCCAAAATAAAAGAAGGAAGAGAAATATAAAAATCGCACACACGAAGAATCGTGAAATCCATAAAGAATGTCAAAATATTTTAGAATTTAATAAAAAAGTAATTTATTATTGTAAAATCAAATGAAAACGTTTAATAAAATATAAAAAATATTTTTAATCTTAAAACTATCAAAAAGGATTTCTTTTAAAACAAGAACAGGTAACAGGCAAATATATTGTACATTCAAATATATATAAAAGTCCACCTCAAATAAATTTTGAAATGAAAAAAATTTAAAAACCTGATATTTCAAAATTTAGAATCATTGCTTTAGATTAAAAGTCATTGTTCATTTACATGTGATCGAAAACAATCGTTGTAGAAACTCTATTGGAAGCGAAATTCAGAAAATCCGTGCAAGGTCACCACTAGTTTCATGGCTTCTGTACATTTTGTATGGAAGTGGATCCTTAAGGGAACTAAGAATAAATTTAAACGTCGACCTAACATCTGATTAAAGTTCACCAAAAGAAGACTTTTAACTTATTTTGTGATTGTTTTTTTACAAAAAAATACTATAAATTTAATTTCTATTCTTGTGTACGAATATATAAAAACGCATTATAACAAATATTCATAAAAAAAAAATCAGAACTTTAAAGTCATTATAAAATGGTTAATCTTCACATAAAAGCCAAGAACTAAAAAAAAATTTAATTTTTTTAAAAATTTTAATAAAATGAATGAATAAGAAGTAAAATTTTGTTTCATTTTATTAAATATTTTATTATATATGTAACTTATATTGAGTCTTTTGAAAACAAAATCTCCATCCGGTTTTGTTAAGTATCATGAATTGAAAAAGGTGCGCAATAATAAGAAGAAATGTATATCCCTCCCCCAGCCCTATTACACTATCAAATTGCTTTGAATTTTGTTACAGTGACTTTTTGTTAATTGTATGCATTAAAATTATTCGAGCAGCGTTTACTGGGTAAGATTTTCCTTTAATTATTCAATGGGATCACTGAAATTCCTGCAGCTAAAACTCCTAATTCTTGGGCGGGGGAATATGCCAGTAATTCCCGTCATTAATTTTAAAAAATCGAAAAGCCCCCTTTAAATGAAAGTGCGAAATAAAAATTTAACAAATTTTGGGTATTAAAATTTGTTAAAAAAACCAAAGAAATTTAAAGGATTAACCTTAGTAATTAAGAAACTGAAAATTTTATTTATACATAATAAATTTATTTTGTAATGCTTTTTCAACTTTTATAATAAAAATAATGAAAGAATATTAAAAAATTATTTTATCTTTACATATATATATATTACCGACTAGATTATGAGTATTTTATAGTTTACTATCTCCGGTTCTAAGAGATAATTTTACACT